TTAGCCCTCAATGCGAGTCTGGTATGCTCCCTTGGCCCTCAACTTGCATCTTGAATGCTTAGGAGTCCTCAGTATGAGTCTGGCATGCTCTCCCTGGTCCGCAGCCCATAGCTGGCATACTCCAGGGTTTGTTGGTCACCGCACGGAGCAGTGCAACCTTAACCCTACCCACATAATATGTCGACGTGTAACAGATAATGTTCATACAGATAATCATACAGTATCACAGGTAGTCCTACAGATCTACCAGACTAGCATATCAAACTAACATGCATATCTAACTCATACTCAACATATCGATAACTACTAGGATATCAATCCAATGGGTCGGCCTTGGTGCCTTAGACCCCCTAGTATAGTGAGGATAACTCACATTGCAAGTAGTGCTGAACTGGATCAAAAGTCTCCGATCGCTGTCTCATCGAAAATCCCGAACTATCCAAAATAACAATTACTAAGTCAACACATGGGATATCACTCTTGACTAAAGGTCCACATAGTCCATATTGCCTTTTCTCTAATTTGGGCCAAGGCCTAATTATCAAATCCACTGTGAAGTCCATATACTTAAGGCCCATTATTGGCCCAATTTTCCTAATTGGGCCCCAACTCCCAAATCGGGCCTCATTTTAAGATCTATACAACTAATGACCCAAAACACATTTATTCAGAAAGCCCAACAAGGCCCATGTCCAACTGGCCCAAAAAGGAGCCCAATCCCGAAGCCTAAATCGTTAAAAGCCCAACAGAGGGCGTACGCGGGGCGTACTCCTTTGGTACGCTGGGCGTACTTCCATTTTGCGTTGACCACCATCGAGGTGGTTGACTCAGTACACTAGGCGTACAGAAATTAAGCGGGGCGTACGCGAGATTTTGCCAAAACCCTAATAAGTGCTTAATGCCTTAAGCACTTAAGTCCAAACTCTAGATCCATCGACCAAATGTGCCTTAGAACCATAAAGTCTTGAACTTTAGGACTTTGGACGTCCAGAAAGTTCCTAATACACGGTCTTAACCCATTAAGACCTTCCTACTACATGCATGGGACACTTTCAACCATTATGACATCATTTTTATCACTTAGGACCCTCTCTAGGGTCTGAAAGGACAATTTATTTCGTTCAAATCATAACATGCACCAACTTGGGACTTTTGGGACAAGAAATGGTTCCATAAAGCTAGCATGGCAAGATCTACATCATACAAGCATAAAGTTTGGAGCTTTTTACCTCCTGGAGCTTCTAGAGCACAAATAAACCTCAGATCTACAAGCTTTTCTTCTTTCTCCAACTTCTTAACGCAACACCTTCTTCTCCAACTACTCAAAATACCCACTCTCAGCTCATAAACTCAAGAAAGGGGTTAGGGTTTGGGGAAAACGGCTCAAAACTATAGAGGCTGAGATGATGGAGGGTTTTGAGCTCATAAGTATGTTTATATAGCACTCAAACCCTAAATATTAGGGTTTCCATCTGACGCGAGTATGCCTAGCGTACACAAGTGTACGCCCAGCGTACTAGGGCGCACCTAGTACGCTTAGCGTACCTTATGTACGCTTAACGTACTAGTATTGTTCTCAAAGTTGCAACTTTAGCCCTTAGGCTCCTCATGGGTCGACTCTTCTAACCACAGGGACTACGAATGACAAAATAATAATAGAAGTGAGGATTCAGAAATACCTGCAAAATCTCGGGATGTTACACATATTTTCCTTTTTTGTTATTTTATGACTATTTCGGGCACTTTCTAGTTTCGTGAGCATAATTGCAGATTTTAAGGAGACTAGCGGAGCGGGATCTTTGGTAAGCGATTGGACTTAGAGGACAACAAGAATTTTGGGCTTGATAGCTAATGGAGTTGATGCATGGACTGGGCTTGTTGATTATTTAAAGGTTTGGAAGAAATAAACTTTAAATTTGCAAGATACGGGAGAATATTCGAGCGTGCGTAGATTATTGATCGGGCGATTACGTGAGCTATGGATCATTTGGAGAAGCCAAATTGGGCTTAAAATGAAGAGAACTTGAAGAAAAATGGGCTAGAAGCTAATCAGACTCGAACTGGGCCAATGGACTAAGATGTGGAGGCCCAAAAACTCAAAGAAGTCACAATCCGACCCACCCACGCAGGGCTGCGCGGCCGCGCACGACACTGCAGGGGTAATTTCAGAATTTCATTTGGAAGGATATTTGAGGAATGTTGGTGTGCACCTTTTGCACACTCTTGCACATCCGAAATTGAGAGGATTCTATGGAGATTTTGGAGCATTTTGAAGACCTAGAACACCTCAAGAACATCATCTTTTTACTCTTGATTCTTGCTAAATGTTTGGTACAATCTACACTTACTTTGTTTTCTTGAGTTTAGCCATGCTAGGCTAAACTAAACTTGGTTGACTTTGGTGAAATCATTTGAATGTTGAAGACTCCATGAACTTGTTCTTGAATCTTTATGAGAATATTTTGTGTTTTAACATCTTATTACTAGTTGTATGTTTTTATTCATGAGTTTAAATGTATTTGTAGTGATTAGTTGGCTAATTTCTTGATTAAGTAAATGATCCTCAAATTAGCAAGCAACAAGTGGTTCTTGTGTTAGTTTTGCTTCACACAATCATCAAAACATTTTCTCCAACATATAAGTGAAAACATTTGACTCCTCTTGGACTTGGTGACTTTTTGGTTCTTAATGCTAATTGACTTTCACTAATTACATGCTTAATGAAAATTGTGACTTTGACTAAGGAAATTGTTGTGAGCTTTTCTAACTATTTTAACAACTAAGAAAAGTCTAGGTAATCTCAAGCTTCTTGAATTACTATAGTCAAATTAAAGATTTAAAACAAGTATTGCACCGTTGGATTCTAATGATATGTTCATCAAATATTCAAGTGAGGAAACCTTAAGTCAACCATCTTTCTCTTATTGATTTCACATCAAACTCTTATTTTTGTTGAATTGTCTATTTAAATCTTAGTTTAATTCTAGTTTTATTTCAAGTATTTCAAAAGACCAAAACCCCTGTCATTTTACATGTATTTTTTATAAAGAGATTTTCATAGAGTTATAAAATTAAACCAATCTCCGCGGATTCGACCCCTTTACCACTATACACTATTTTAGTGTAAGATTTAGGGTTATTAATTTTGTTGGCCTCGACAACCACCAAAATGTATGGAGTTTCTACGAATGTCAATGTTTTTTTTTAAAAAAAAAATTTGTCGTTGTTATGACTATTATTTTAATGAATTAATTCTTTTCATTATTATATTTTTAAGAGTTATACTTTGAAATATTTCAACATCTTAAATTTCCAAAATTTTAATTACAAAATGGTTTAAGGAAAAATCTATATTTCGATGCTTGTGCAATATAATTCAATGCACATAAATATGATTAATTTTATTGATTTTTTATTACATATTTGATATGTTTTACAAAATACTATTTTTTGACTTTCAATTTTAAAATTAGATGACATGTTATTTTCATCGACTTAAAAATGTTTTTTATATATTGTTTCCATATTATATTGAATTTTATTTTGTGCATATAGTATATTAAATAAAGTTATCAATGTTATTGAGTGTTTAAATGAATAATAATAATTCATAAAAAAACTATCATTATAAATGATCTAAGTTATGAAAATGATTTTTTTATTTACTTAATATTTGTCAAAAGCGTTCATGATACATTTATTATAAATGTTTTAAAATAAGTTTTTTAGTTAGTTTACCATAACAATAGTTAAAAATAATGCTCAATCAAATAAATAATTTTTAAATTAGTTAATCATAACAATAGTTAAAGCATCGTTAAATGAATAATTGTATAGCTAAATTTGATTATCATATATGTTTATCTTATCATATTGCTAAAAAAACTTATAATTTTATATATCAACGTAATGTATGAATTATTATTTCATAGGTAATATGAATAACTACATGGTATTAATCTGCGCAACGGAAATATTTTCCTAGTATATAATAATATTGGAATTTACCTTTGATGATAATCCATGAATAACATTAACAACTAACAAATCTGTCCAGGAAAGTAAACTTTTTTTTTTCTTTAAATGAGCCAGCCCATAAAGCTGATTGTAGAAGCCCAAAAAAAGTTATATGAATTCCAACGGCCTAATGATGTTTAAAATACACACCCATCGGTTTTCTCTTCTTTGATGTACGACGGAGAAAAAAAGAGGACAACTTGATAATTTATTCGACACCAAATTTAAAATTTTAGTGACTTACAATGCGAAAAAAAAAGTGATTAGAGACCATATGAGCACAAAACGAATAGTTTGTTAACAAATTAACCAAACTTTCTAAATCTCAGTTGTTATTATTTATTTTTCTTCTCACATATATATGTAAGCCGTTTTAGAAAAAAATATATTTTGCGTTACTACTATTTTTTTAGTAACTAAATGTCATTGAATTTATAATATTATATTATGTCAAATATTTTTTATTTAAATAATTAATAAGTTTAAACTTTTTTCTTCCTTAGGAATTTCCACAACAACGTTTATCAACCAAACATTTTATATTAGACAGTAACTTCAGACAAAAAGAAAATATAATAATTGCTTTTGTCCTTTGAAATTGCTCATTCCTTCAACATACATTGCTCGTTCTTCCAACTTTACAAACAAACATATTTTGTTACCTAAAAGAAATAGATGTCAACTACATAAAAATGTTTACAACATCATATATAACTGGATGCAATCAAGCTAGCCACGCCACCCCACTTTAATTATTTCTTTTTTCAGTTAGACGACCAACCAAATCGATGCAATAGGCCATAACCATCCAATTAGGTGAACCAACCCTTCCAAGTTTCAAAATGATTCCATTTGTAGCTCATCTACTCCTTTCACCTAACAAAACTATATATGCATATTAAACCTTCATTTTTCACTCCAAAACTCTAAGCTCACAACATCACAAAGAAAAAAAAAAACTTCATACCAATTTCTTTGAGGAAATGGAAGCACATAGAGCCGGAGCCGAGATCGTATATGGGTCCGAAGAGTGCTACAATCACTCAATCGAGCTCCTCAAGGAGCTTGGTTTCCCTAGAGGCGTTCTTCCACTTAAAGACCTCCAAGAATGTGGTCGGGTTCGAGAGACCGGGTTTGTTTGGATGAAGCTAAAGGCTCCATACGAACACTTCTTTGAGCAGACTAATACCCGTGTCAGTTATGATACAGAGGTGACTGCTTACGTTGAAAAATCTAAGATGAAGAAAATTACTGGGATCAAAAGTAAACAAATGTTAATGTGGGTGCCTATTGTTGAGATGAGCATGGAAGATGCTAATAGTCAGAAAATATATTTCAAGATTCCGGTTGGGATTGGAAAATCCTTTCCCATTACAGCGTTTATGACCGAAGAGGAGAAAAAAAAGTACATCGAGGAAGGGATATGATATATCTTATTGGTTGTGAAAGAATATAAATTATATTTATGTTCGTTATTAAAAACATTTATGTTATGAATCTAAAGTCGTGGAACTTTTTGAGTTTTATTCTTTTTAATACTAGCAAATCTAGTCATTTTCTCTATTATCTATTTATCTAAACACGAAAATGGTTTATGTGGTTGTTCAAATATAACTGAAGTTTGTACTTTGTGCCACGTTTATCATATACCGTATATTATAATGATAAGTCTGGTGACTTCGTGAGCTATGATGGACACATGATTTCTGGGAATCCTCCAATAATGGCGATAGTAGCTCCAAATCTCACCACCCAGTCGCTATTCGTCAAATCTCTAAAGCTCCGGCAATCGCGCGTTAGACTACCTGCAACCATGGCGACCCCCGTCGCTGTTACAGGAACGACGGTGGATCAATTCAAAGACCATCACCCGTCGCTGGAAGTTCTGGGTGGAGCTTGTGACTCCTTCTGTCCAATTATCAAGACTCATTTGGACCGTCCGTACAATTCCTTTCCGGTCTTCGGGTCAAACCGCCACCTCGAGACCATATTCGCCGCTTTCTTCCGAAAAATCCCCGATGTGAAGTTGAAGCGCGAGTGCCTCAGGACCCAAGACGACGGAACAGTCACCCTCGATTGGGTCTCCGGCGATGCGCGCAACTTGCCGGAAACCTCCCCTATCCTACTCTTACTCGTCAGTCCACATTTCCCCCTCTTCAAATTCAACTTTCAAAATGCAAACCCACCATTCATTGAGTACTAATTTTGCAGCCTGGTTTGTCGGGAGGAAGCCAAGATGCATATGTACGGCATATGCTGGTGAGAGCAAGAAACAGAGGGTGGCGCGTGGTGGTATTCAACAGCCGTGGCTGTGCTGATAGCCCTGTTACCACACCTCAGGCATGTTTATGTTTATGTTTTAACAGTTTTAAGAACTTGATCTATTAAAAAACGGTTATCTTCAAGTAATTTCCATTTATACAAAGACTGTATATTCCCATTTATCCTTATGCAGATGTATTCGGCTTCATTTTTAGGAGATCTCGATGAAGTGGTAGGACACATTACTACCAGGTACCCTAAAGCCAATTTATACGGCACTGGTTGGTCCATGGGAGCAAACATTCTTGTTCAATACTTGGGGAAGGTAGAAATTCATTCTACCATTTCTGTTTCTTTGAATATGAAGATTGAAGAAGCAACTTTAATACAAAATTATGTGTTCTTCCATTGCAGGAGTCTGGTGCAAGGAGATTTTCTGGTGCAGTTTCCATGTGTAATCCTTTCAATTTGGTTATGTCGGATGAGGATATATGCCAAGGGTTTAGCAAAATTTATAATAGATCTCTTGGAAAGGCTTTGGGTGGCATTTTAAAGAAGTATTCATATTTCATCCTTTCGTTATTGTTCTTGAATGTTTATAAATTAGTGTTCATGTGTTTAGAGATTTTATGTCTTTCTTTGTAGGCATCTTCCTCTGTTTGAAGACATTGGTGGCGATTACAATATCCCATTGGCTGCAAATGCAGAAACTATCCGGGAGTATGATGAAGGACTGACTCGAAGTATACATATAAATGTTGAATTACCCATTTTACCCTTTATGAGTTTTTCGTTTTAATTCCCTTGAACACCATGCAGTTTCGTTTGGGTTCAAGTCAGTGGATGAGTATTTGCAGAAGTCATGCAGTGCAGATCACATTAAGAATGTTCAAACACCTTTGCTTTGCATACAGGCAATCTTTCTTTTATCCTGATATTTTCTTTTTCATTTTTATAGAAAAAAAAATGTGATCTTTGATCTATATTAAAGATTTGTGTGATTTACAGGCAAGAAATGATCCAATAGCACCTGATAGAGCAATACCTCGTGAAGATATAAAGGTACGATTAAACAAAAAAAAAAAAAAAAAAAAAAAAAAAAAAAAATTGATGTTGCAAACTTGTTGTTCATCATATGTTAACTGGTGTTGTTGTATCTGTTTTTTCAGATGAACCCTAATTGTTTGCTGATAGTTACACCTAAAGGAGGTCATTTAGGGTGGGTTGCAGGTGAAAATGCTCCTTTAGGATGCCCATGGACTGATCCCATGGTCATGGATTTCCTGCAACATCTTGAAAATGAAAAATCAGGCATACAAGAAGCTACTAATAGCCTGCTACAGCCACTAGAGGCATAGACTAGATTCATTGGCCACTATTTGTACTTAGTTGATTTAGATGTTCTTTTTATGTTACAATGTAATACATTGGTGTGTATATAATATATAACTACTTTTGATTGAGGGTATATTTTTTGGATACAAGAAGTCAAGAAGATGCAATATCATAAGATATCGATAAATATTGTATGTTTTATGCATCAAGAGGCCGATGATACCATTTTGTCACACCTTCTTGGATTATGTCATAGACTAATAGCTACATTGGGTTTTTGTTTTTTGAAAATAGCTTCTAGAAAACAGATCCATTTAGCTGGTTATGTATCATTAATCATTTACTTTGTTACAAATCACTTGCTTATTTGTGAGTTCGATTTTTAATCCTGTCTGGTTTGGTTATCTCGTATTATTGTGGTATATTTATCTTTCATTTAAGGAATTTTTCCATTGTTTTACAAAAATGAAAATAAAAAGAAAGTGTTTTGGTTTATTGTTTTGTTGTATTTGACATGTTATAGACAAGATGTATGGTGGCTTTTAAGCTTTGTTTGGCGCGCCACAGCTAGTTGATAAGATAGCTTATTTTTTGAGCTTTTTTATGTTGTCGTGTTTGGTAAGCCAAAAAGTAGCTTATAAGCTAGCTTTTTGAAAAGCTACTTAGACTAGCTTTTTAGGAGCTTTTTTAAAATTTTCCAAATACACCCCTTAATTAATTATAGAAACACATACTCCTACATGTCATTTTATGTAATTTTATATATTTCAGCTAGCTTTTCAGCTAGTTTTACCAAACGTTATTTTTAATCAGCTAGCTTTTCAGCTATCAGCTAGCTTTTTATTTAACAGCTAGCTTTTCAGCTATCAGCTAGCTTTTCAGCTAACAGCTAGCTTTTCAGCTTGTTCGCCAAACATAGCCTTAGTTGTTGTGATCCCGTATCTAAATGGTCAAAGCGTATGTTTTGTATTTTTATTAAAATATTGTTATGTACATATAAAGCTGACGAGTATCAAGACCTTGAACAGGTTGGTTAAAACCAGTTTTTAATGTATTTTTCTTTTGCTCTTATTGTAATAAGAAAATTTGAAATATAAAAAAGATCTTTATTTATAAGTGACATTAATATACTAATCTTTATTTTGTAGATTTTATAGTTACTTTTGACATCATCTATATGGAGATTGTTAGGATTGAACCATTTAATTTGATGATGTTTAAGACTAGTACACTTAAGCTGCCATGTGGAGTAAGCCTGAGTTGACTAAATTTTGTCTTAACGATAGAGTCAATGTAGATTGCCTAGACAGTTTGGGTTAAGTTCACAATCTGGGCTGCCTAACAATGGACAAATTATTTACATTTAAATACAAGTCAATTTAGATGCGATGTTAATGACTTGATAGGATAAAAACTATACTTTGTGTAAACATTCGATATTTTTTTACATACAATTTACAATTAAAATAACATATTTTGCCTAAAAAACACTATTAAAGATTTAAAATGATATATTTGATTCGAAACGTACACCATTTACCCATAAAAGAATCAATATATGATGTATCAACATATAAGAAAAATATATGATATGAAAAGGGGGGAATTACTTTTTTCTAAGCAGTATATTATTAATATTTTCATGATTAATTGTATGTAATAAATAAAAACAATAAATAACAACAAAAAAAACAAATTAGAAAAATTATAAAAAAGAAAAAATCAAAACTATGTTATCTTTCAAATCAAGGATCATTCTTGCCATTAAAAAAAACATATGTCAATTCTTACTAACCAAAATCATACAATAAATTCAATTTATCAAACTATCCTCATATCTAAGAAATTCAATCTAAAATGATTAAATTTGGAAAAAAAACATACACTACTATTACTCTAATTATCCATCAACCAAGTATACCAACTATATTGAAATTCAATCTAACCAAAATCATACAATAAATTCAATTTATCAAACTATCCTCATATCTAAGAAATTCAATCTAAAATGATTAAATTTGGAAAAAAAACATACACTACTATTACTCTAATTATCCATCAACCAAGTATACCAACTATATTTCCGTAATATAATTTATTCTTCATTCTATTTTACAATATTTTGTTCTTCAAATCCTTGGAAAAGTATCATATTTCAATGTGGTAAAACTTGTAAATAAATTTTATAAATTTATATGTGTTTTAGCTTTAAACTCGTTCTAGAACTTTATTTTATTTTTATTATTTTTTGTAGTTTTTGTGATGAGCTAGATATAATTATTAAAATTTGAATAGTTAGATGCTCATATGTAGCTGGTAAGACATATTTGAAGTCTAACAAATCAATTTTTTCATGAATAATGTAGTAAGTACTTGATATGGACATTTCGTCACTCCTAATCACAATAATCAATTGATATTATCTAGCTAATACTCAAATGACTAAAGGTGAAAAATGTTTTTTATTACAAAATGTGTCGTTTTCCTAGTGTTTTTTTTAACAAAACCGATCATTTTAATAGTGTTTTTTGAGTGGACATGATCACATATCATTTTAATAGTGTTTTTGAACAAAATACGTCACTTTTAACAACAAATCGTGTTAAATGTAACTTGAGCATTTGGAGCATTCACATGAAACATTTGAGTTCAATGGAGCACTTGGAACTCAATGGAGCACTTGAGATTCATAAAGCATGTAACAAATGAATGAATCATCTGAGAAATGAATGGATCTTCTTACAAAGGAATGGAACTCCTGACAAATGACAAAATATGCCAAAGTGACAGGAGAAGTCACGAAGTGACTTGATATGCCACCAAGTGACTTGATATTGCCACCAAGTGACAGGATATGTCACAAAGTGACATGATATGTCGCTTTAAAGGTGGATGCGCCACTACCGAAGCCTGATGCACCATCTAGGAGTGAATGTGCCATTCATGAGGAGGATGCGCCAATCTAGGAGATGATGCGTCATCCCTTGATCAAGATGTGTCGTCCACATACCTGATACACCATCTTGATGAAAGGATGCACCACTTGGTTCCTTGATATGCCAAGGTATCCCTTGATGAGCCATATGCTATGAAGTCCTCTATGATGCTCAATATTGTCCAAGGGTGCCATGAAATTGAAGATGCTCAAGGAATACACCTTGAAGCGTCATCATGATGGATGAAGCTCCAGTAGTGTTCATGATGCGCCACTTGTGCATCATGATGTGCCACTATGGCTCATGATGCTTCATCATGTGTGTTGCTGATGCTCATGGGTTGTATTACATGTATGAATGTTCCAGAAGATGCTGCATGGCAGATTGTGATTGGTTGACACCTTTCATAGGCCTATGGGCCAATGGGCTTGGCTCATTAAGGTTTTAAGTCTGATCCCTCAAGTATAAATAAGGATGCATGCTAAGTCATTTGAAGCGTCTTGAAATTCTAGAGTGATAGGCGAATCTATGTAAAATTGTACTTGTAATCTCTCTTTGAGAACTCAGAAATAATAAATACTCCCCTCCTGCCCGTGAACGTAGGTCATCTTGACCGAACCATATAAATATTGTGTCTTGTGTGCTTTTGGTTTTGCTAGTTATTCACTTTATTTCTTAACAAATCGTCTACCAAAAAGAGGAAAATTGTGTATCCAAAATGAAGAGTGATCAAATATATAGGCATTATAGTATTTTACCATTAACGAGTTGGACTTCCAATTAGTGACAAAAATGATGTTTGCTTAACATAAGATTAATGATAAATCATCTAAAGCTAAAATGACCAAATATATACACGAAACATAACCTCTTATACTTAGTAAACGTGTCGAGTCATCCCCCCCCCCCCCCCCAACCCCCACCCCACTAGATATCTTACATGATATTCTTTAGGTCTCGCTTATAACTTTTAACTTTTCTAGAAAGTACAAAATGGGCAAACTACATAAACGTCATTAAATTTTCATAAAAATTCAAATTTTGACATTTTTTTTTACAATTCTAACCACTTAACCGGCCAACCAACTTGCCAACTGATGTAACATGCTGACATGACTTGATAATGTGACACTATTGGTGACTTTATATTATGGGTGTCACAATTGAAAAAATATATATAAATTGTAGTGATTTTTGTGATAGTTATCGATCCAAAATACAATGATTTTTGCGAAGTTTTCAAAATATAGTGATTTTTGTGATTGTTATCCAAAATATAGTGAGTTTTATGAAGTTTCTATGGATGATACTCATGCTGATAAATTAATTATGTTTTAAATTAACTTCATTTTGTTTAACAACATTACAAAATTAATAAATTTTTAGATTAAATAATATTTATATATTAGTTGGATGCCACGTTAGAATAAATATTTGACTGATAATATAAACATTTTCATAATTCAACTTATATAGAGATGATAACATGTATAAATAGTTGTCGATAACTAAATTATAAGTTCTGAATACTTGATTAATCATTAACGACATTACCTTACAAAAGTAAGTACGTTTTAGATTTTGTTTTTAATTTTAGATATAACCAAAATAATAACTCGTTTTCAAGTCATGTTAGCATATTACATCATCAAAACTAACACAATAATATATGAACTTACATGGTTGACTGTTAAATTGTCACAATTATAACATAAAAAAGTATAATTTAAAAAGGAAAAAAAGCGTGATATAAAACCGAATTTTTGTTAAATTGTTTTTGTGAGTTCCCAAAATAAAATTATTATGTGCTGTGATCTCATATTTGTTAATCCTTCATTGGAGACCATGTGACAGTGATAAGGTTGTCGTCGTTGGTTAGAAGTTTTGATGTCCGTTTGTACAAGACAAAATCAGTAGAGAAGGAAGGGGAGGGCGGTCGATCTATCTATCGGAATGGATTGGGTCGCCGGTTACGGCGTCGCCTGAGTATCCATAGCCGTTCAGTGGATCCTACGTATTATACTTTATACTTTACTTTATATCCATGGCCATATTCTCCATCGCCGCCCTCGCTTCCAAATATTTTGTCTTCACACCGTCTATTCCGGCCATCCACTCTTTAAAAGCCAGCAGCTACCCTTTTCCCTCAACCATAACTCGCAATACCACCACCATCAGTGCAACCATGTCTGCCAATCCTCTCTACCCTCGACCTCACCCTTCTCTCGAGGTCAGCGGCGGAGCTCTGGATTCATTCCTTCCGGCTTTCACCACTCTCGACCGCCCATACGATCCCTATCCCCTCGTTTGTTCCAACACCCACCTCGAAACTGTATTTGCCCATTTTTTCCGATCAAAACCAGATGTCAGGTATCGACGTGAATGTCTCAGGACCAAAGACAACGGTGCCGTCGCCCTTGATTGGGTCGCCGGCGACGATCGCAACTTATCCCCAAATTCTCCTACCCTCATTTTATTGGTAAAATCAAATATATTCCCTCTCTAGATCCCCCCATCTTTTTCAAACGAACATTACCATTATTATATCATCTTCTTTTTGATAATTTTCAGCCGGGGTTGACCGGAGGGAGTGGAGATGGATACGTAAGACATATGCTGGTGAGAGCAAGAAAGAAGGGGTGGCGCGTGGTAGTTTTCAACAGCCGTGGTTGTGGTCATAGCCCTGTTACCACTCCTCAGGTATCAAAAATCACAACCCAACATCATATTTCGCTTGCATATCTTCAAGATTGAAGAACACGACATGATTACTTTTCTGCATTGTAAAACTGTTGACAGTTCTATTCGGCGTCATTTTTGGGAGATATGAATGAAGTAGTAGCTCATGTCTCCTCTCGATTCCCAGAAGCAAATTTATATGCTGCTGGTTGGTCTCTTGGCGCCAACATTCTTGTTAATTACATGGGTCAGGTAAATTAGTTAATTGATTCCTAGTATTTTCTTAATTCTTGCTTATCTTAAATTAAACTTATAATCCTTTTGATTACATTTACAGGAATCTGGTAGCTGTCCCCTTTCTGGTGGTGTGTCCTTGTGTAATCCTTTTGATTTGGTCATTGCAGACGAGGACTTCCAAAAGGGATTTAACAAAGTTTATGACAAATCTCTTTCTTCTTCTCTTCAGAAAATCTTCAAAAGGTAACTTACTAACTGTTTTTCTTTTAAGAAAAATTAAAAACAATTCAGTTCATTACTTGTGTTCTGTATATAGGCATGCTCTTCTATTTGAAGAATTGGAGGGCGATTATAATATCCCAGCAGCTGCAAGTTGTAGGTCGATTAGGGAATTTGATGAATCTTTGACACGTGGTATGTAACACAAATTTCTATAATTAATTTGAAGTTTTGAACACCTTGATGATGATTAATTGATAATGGAAAAACGCAATTACTATTTGCATTTGCAGTCTCTTTCGGTTTTAAGTCGGTCCATGACTACTACTCAAAATCAGGCAGCTCAGGGTCTATAAAGGATGTTGCCAAGCCTTTACTTTGCATCCAGGCTGAAAATGACCCCATTGCCCCTGCTAGAGGAATCCCACGTCAAGCTATCAAAGTATGTGTCTCTCACTCTCTCTTTCCAACATAATAATAATAATAATAGATTCATAAGTTATAAAAAGAAAAGAAGTAATTTTAATTTTTACATGTTGTTACTTGATGTAATTGGTTCAGGAGAATTCAAAATGTATGCTGATAGTTACACCTCAAGGTGGGCACTTAGGGTGGATTGGAGGTGATGAAGCTCCCTTTGGAGCTCCATGGACTGATCCTATTGTCATGGATTTTCTTCAATATTTAGAAAGAACAAAATCAACATCTGTTCATTTATCCAAATCAAACGAAAATTCCCACACAGTAGAAGCAACTGTAAAGTGAAAGAAGCAATTTTTGTCAAGCAAATACATACATACATTCTTGACTAGGATTTTTGTCATTCATGGCACAATCTCATATAATAAAATCATCTTTTTCATCCTGGAATATGCTTTATGACATCATATGTTGAGGAAATAGTATGCTCTCATTAGGTTTGCCAATGTGGTTTTTTAGCGAAAGTATGCACCCCCTGCTATACTTAGAAGAATATGTGACAAGAAAGAACTATAGTATATGACCAAAAGATTGCTCACACATGGCACACATACTCTACTCATAGATCTATATTCTTTTGTCTCAAACGAAACTTGAACCCCTCCCTCAACCTATGTCTGAGGGGAACCAATCCAACAACACCCGTTTGATTTGGTAGAAATTTACCCAAAGATTTTAAATTTCTAATTTCATCATGGACACTTGACATATCACCTAAAGTAACCGGATTCCTATGATTCCGTGTTTTAAGTTGACACATGGATTCTTATGATTTGGTGTTTTAAGTTGATACATAAAGTTCAAACGTAGGTATATAAAGTGCATCTATATTTAGGACAGTAAACGAACCGAACGAACACAAACGAGGTTTGGTTCTGTTCTTTCGTTTAAGTTAGCCAAACAAACGAATAAGTTTTCTTGTTCATGTTCGTTCGTATAATAAAGTACATTGTTCATGTTCGTTTGTTTATGTTCGTAAACATGCTAAACAAACATAAACTTATGAACGAAGATAAACAAACACAATTAAACATATATGAACATAAACGAACATATAATATAGTAATGTAATATAAAAATAATTGAACATATATGAACGTAAATAAAATAAAACGAACGAACGTAAAAGAATGAACGAGACCATTATTCATATTCGTTCATTTATTAAATAAACGAACATAAACAAACTTTCCGCCGAATGGTTCGTTGAATGTTCGGTTCGTTTACAACCCTACCTATACTGCTTACTACTTAGGGGTTGTTTGTTTACCTCTTATTGCCTCTTAATAAGAGGTAGCTCTGAATCTGAATCTATCGAGTGTCGTTTCTTTTTGACTTAATGGACTTAATGTTTAGAAAAACTTAATAAGTTTAGCTATATAAGATCGTTCTTTTTTTTTTTGTTTTTTTTTTTTTGTTTTTTTCTTTACTTAATGTTAACAAATTATCTTAGTGGATTAAGTTGAAAAATAGATGTCCTTAACATTAAATGGTAATCTTATTTTTGTTTTTCCAAAGTTATCCTGCACCCCACTCACCATTTCCTCCAAAGTAAATGGGTATGCCTGTGATTTTAGAATTTTTTTTATTACTTATAAATTAGTCTATTTTTATTGGCCACGTTCATGATTTTCTATTTCAAAACAAAGGATAACAATATAAAAAATATCTTAAAATAATACATTTAATAAAAAGAGAATAAAAAGCAACATGTTTCATGTATGTCTTTTAATAAGTGTCATGTAAGTTTCAATTCTATAAACATATTAATTTATTTAGGAATATTTTTTAAACATACGTCTACTTTTCTTTATAAAACTATTAATTTAATAGGGTTTTATGCGGAAAAGTCCCATTATTTTGGGAAAATTTTTGATAAAGTCTTAAAAGTTTTTTTTTAACAGAAAAAACCTATTATTTTGAGGAAATTACATAATTTGTCATTTGTTGTTCAAATATAAAAAAATATTTTTTTTCGTTTATTTGGGCAAAATGTTAAATAATCAGGATTTTTTTGTTCAAAATTCATTTTAAGACTTTATTAAAAAAATTTCTCAAAATAATGAGACTTTTCTGCATTAATCCCAATTTATTATAACGAATATGTTAGATTTGTTTTTATTATAATGTATTAGTTAAGTATCACATTATTATTATATTATTTAAAAATTTTAAAAATTATTTAATGTGATGGTATATACTTTTAATTTATAATGGTTCTTAAATAAATGGTCATTTTTTTTATATTTTATAACAAGTTTTAAAGAAATGGTAATTTATCAGACGAGAAATCTCCAAAAAAGTCATAATATTTTAGTCTGATTTATGAAAAAATCCAAAATTAAATTTTGTTTACAAAAAAACACAAAATACAGGCTAAAACTTTGAAAAAACCCTTTTTGGCCGGTATCGTAGATTTAGTCGGTATTATATCATTTTTCGTTAGTTTTGTCAAAATATTGAGACTTTTCTGAAAATTACCCAGTTACCAAAATATTGAGACTTTTCTGAAAATTATCATGGAATTAATGAAATATTATTATTAACAAATCATTTATAAACATAACAAATATTTTTTTTATAAACAAAGGAAAAACATTTGTTGCTAATTTCTAGAAATATAATGGTGGACTAAATACTCATTTATTGTTTTTCGACCACTTCAAACTCTCTACGTTCCTCCTACACATCGTTGTGGTTGTAATGGTGAGATGTACTATGTGATTGTTCCTTTGATGTTGGTGTTTCTCTTATATTCTTCAACCTAACTACCACTCAACATCCATACCTTACCTGATAACAAACGTTGGCTAATACACATCTATCGAATCCGAAAAGTGAACAGTGAATGAGAGTTTATATGGAACCAAGTGAAGGGTGATTATCTATTTAAATTGTCATTCAAATTTCACTTTTTATTCTCGATAAATGTATGTAATTCGATGATAATGTCCGGAGGTTAGGTGGTAGTTAGGTTAAAGAACATAATAAAAGATTTATATTGTCACACATCCAAACCAGGATGACGGAAACGTCCGGGGGAAGATGACTTTCATGTATTGTATCATAACATAATGAATAATAGTGACCAAAGTAAGCGCAACCATCATAAATATAAATGAAAAAGTTACATTGTTGTAAGAGTTGCATGTTTCAAAATCAATTACAATATGATGATAAAAAGATTTGTCTGACGCCTTAGCGTCCCATCCTCAAAAGCTTATAGTTACCTGTTTTAGTGATTTCCTGATAATACAAGTAGTTTTGAAAGAGTGTCAACAATTAAGTTGGTGAGTTCATAAGAGTTCGTATGAGTAATTGTAAACCTTTCCTTATAAAATGATAGTGTCTGTTTCCAGAAAATCCAATATTTTCCTTAAAAATGAGATGTAGTCTTAGAAACCCTAAGACTGAAATGTACAAGTATTTTCCATACTTAAAATAGTAATATGCAGTTTTAGTTCATATAAAAACTGTTTGAATGAATGTTTCCCTGTAAACGAAATGTATCGTTGTTTCCCCATGTGAGTTATTATAACCGTGCTAAAGACATAGATGGCATGTTACGACGTTCTTCAGGCGTCGGAATGTTATGACATTTGTCACCCCAAACCTGCCGGTCTAGCTGTTGCAAGCAACTTAGGTGCGAGATTGTCAATCCCGTATAGATCTATACACAAGTATCACGCTTTCTTACGGGAGACTCTGGTTATAATACATGACTTTTGAAGGTACCCTGATAGGTACGATGAAGACTTTGACTCACAAAAATTGATTCAACGAGTTTACGTGTTGTAATGAGAACCTTTGTATATATACTTGAAAACCAAATAGCAAGATAAATCAAAAGGGCAATTCTGTCCATGATTTTAGAAAAATTATAGAAAAATCATCGTAAGTCGAAATAGGGATCCGTAAACTCTCAGAGCTTAGAAAATGAGTCTACTTTGTCCATAATTTTTATCCTGACTTTACGTGATTCCTAACCAGAATGAAAATGTTCATTTTTACAGATTGGTCCGAAAATGTTCTGAAATGATAGACAGTTTTGTAAAAATCGTTATAAATTGTAGAAACATCGTATAAACGCGTGCGAGTTGTTCTTGAAAAAGTATAGACCTGAACTATTTGCATATTGTACATTTTTGAAATCCATTAAGTTTAAGAAGGGCAAAACAGTCCGTGATCAGACCACAACTTTTCTGTAAAAAGCTGAAATTTAAGTTTAGATATGTTTAAAGGCATAACTTGTATTTTTAGTTCGCAAATCCTTTAAATCATCCAACTAGGATTTGTTTAGTGTGTATTCTCCCCCAAAACTTGTAAAACATAAAATAGGGGCCGTAGAAAACTCACTTTTGTCGCGTAGAGTTAGTCGGTTTGAGAATGGTTTGTACGGTTTCCGATTCCACTCAAGCTCGTGATTTGAGTATTCTTTGGATATCTTAACACATAAAGACATATATTTACATGTATGTTAGACTTTTATCATGTCTTAAGTTATTTAAAATCAGTGGACTTGATGATTAAAAGAAAGAGTAGAAATCAAGAATATACCTAGCTATAACTTGGATCTATAGTATGTTGCCAAAAGGTGATGGAAAACACAAGCTTCTTGAGAGATGAAAGGGTAAATTTCTCAGGGGTTTTAAGTGTTTGAAAGTTGCTACATATGATATACTTTGAATCTCGAAAATGGGTAGTAAAATGAAGAAACTTTTGGGTGTTGGTTTGATGCTCCAAAACAGCCACTGTTTTGGCTATGTTGCTGTCACGAAAACTTCACAGAAAAAGGGTAAGAAAAGGGTAGTTTACTCACTGTTTTGAGTCATTAAGCACATTAGGAAACATCGCATAAATCCTAAAATCCTAATACTAGTTGAGTTGGCTTGGTTGACCTGTTGACTTTGTTTGACCCGAAATTGACAGTTGTCACATATATGTTTAAGAATCATTGTGTAAAGATATTTTCTAATAACATGTGATCCTATTGTGTCACATATTATAGCAAATAAACACTTATTGATTGTTTATTAACTAATCTGATTATTAGTAAATAATATCAACTCTTGTATTTAGCTAGAGAAACGTACATAGTACATCTCACCATAACACCCACAATGATGCATAGGAGGAACGTTGAGAGTTTGAAGTGGTCGGCAAACAATAAATGAGTACTTAGTCCACCATTTTATTTCTTGAAATTAGCAACAAATGTTTTTCAAAGGAATTTGTTATGTTTATAAATGATTTGTTAATAATATTAATGAATTTCATGGTAGTTGTCAGAAAATTTCCAATATTTTGGTAATTGAGTAATTTTCAGAAAAGTCCTAATAT